ACTGACCCCAAATGACCACTTTGAGTTCTCTTAAGGAATAGAACTCTGATATTTGAACACAAATTAACCCTGTCCCTAGAATATTGTCATTCTCAGAACTACAAAACCACACAGAGTTTTACTGCACTTTTTTTTTAATATTGGGAGGAGGGGAGGAGAAATAGACAGAGATCTCCCATTGAATGGTTCATTCCCCAAATGCCCACAATGGCAGTAGCAGGGCCAGGCTGAAGCCCAGAGCCTGGAAATCAATCGGGGTCTCCAATGTGGGTGGCAGGGACCCAGCTACTTGAACCATCACTTACCACCTCTAAAAGTGCATATTAGCACAAAGCTGGAGCTGAAAGAGGAACTGGGACTAAAACCCAGGTATTCTGATATGAAATGCAGGCATCATAACTGTTTGGTCAAATGCCTTCCCCCGCTGCATTTTTAATATGCTTAATTACACACTTTATTTTAATTTTCCCTACAATTGAAAAGAGCACAAAATTATGACTTTTTAGGTAGCTTGGCCAGTTTCTTGTGCTCTTATTGTGACCCTTTGGCTAAGGCACCTGGCACTGCAGATACTAGGCCCACTAATAATTACCGCCGTCTTCCATCTCTCTGTCTCCCCAGCTGTTCGTTCCTCAGATCTTTTCATCCAATTAACAGAACAAGAATCTAGGAACAGAACTTAATCTTTCTGTGGTTACTAGGAAACCTGTCCCTACAGCTTAAGGCAAGCATTTTATCTACCCTCCACTGCCAATCAGCCCTCCACAATACATTTGGGGATATTCTTGGCCTAAAGGTTCAATAATCTCCACTCAATGTGTCCTCTTTTACAAATGACTTTACCATTAAAAACAAGGAAAAAATGGCATAACCAAGCTATTCATCTACCCTGATATTTTTTTCCACTTACATAACAGAGTTCAGTAGTGGTCATATGGTAGTAGATAAAATACCATTTGAGACACAAGCATCCATATGGAAGTGCTGGTGTTTGATACTTGGCTTTGACTCCTGAATCCAGTTTTCTGCTAATGCAGACCCTGGAAGGCAGCAGAAATGGCTCAAGTAGTTGAGTCCCTGACACTCATGTAGGAGTGAATTGAGTTCCTGCCTAGCATCAATGGCCCAGACTTTTACTGGCATTTGGGTGGAATGAAACAGTGGGTGAGAGAGCTTTTCTCTTCCTCTCTCTCTCTCTCTCTCTGCCTCCCAAATAAACAAAGAAAATAAAGAGCATAGAGTTTAAAAATTAATAAATTCCTGAAATGAAGCTCTTATATCTATGAGCCACAAATGGCCACACACTCATTGATTTAAAAACAAAACAAAACAAAACAAAACCCTGATTTCTATAAGCTACTAATGAAAATCATCCTTTATTGATACCCTACTGAGTTTTTTACAAGGGACTTCAGTCTCCATTCCAGTCATATTTTAGTTCTGTCTTTTTTGGATGTCTGCCTGTAATATACTCAAATATTTTCAATTATTAGACTCAATGACACAAAATTGCTACTTTAGAAATCAAAAGTGGTCAAATATAGACAATAGCATTTGGTTTGAACTAATGTTTAGTGTTTCAAGAGCACTACTGGAAATGTAGAATTAATGCAGATGGCATTAATTATTTCCTTAGAATATTTGAGCAAGTGAGCTTAGAAAATGCAGTTGGTTCTTGACCCTCTAGGGCATATTTAATCCCTGACTTGAGTCCACTATAAGATTTCTCTTACCTTTTTTGAATCCTTATACTTCCTTGTCTGAAAACAATTACTCAGTGTTTATTATATTTCATGCCTTTAAGCATAATCTAAACTGCCTTTGTGTTATGAAAACCGCTTCTTGTTATGTAACTTTAAGTGTCCATTGAAGTTTATACATATAGGCAGGCAACTTTAAAGAACAATATGAAAGCGGCTGGTGCTGTAGCGCAGCAGGTTAAAGCCCCTGCCTGCAGCACTGGCATCCCATATGGGCACAGGTTCAAATCCCGGCTGTTCCCATATGCGTGTGGGTTCAGGTCCTGGTTGCTCCACTTCTAATCTAGCTCCCTGATAGTGTGCCTGGGAAGGCAGTGGAAGATGGTCCAAGTGCTTGGGTCCTTGCACCTACATGGGAGACCCAGAAGAAGCTCCTGGCTCCTGGCTTTGGATTGGCTCAGCTCCAGCTGTTGTGGCCATTTGGGAAGTGAACCAGTGGATGGAAGACTTTCTCTCTCTCTGTGTCTCTACCTATCTGTGTAACTCTGGCTTTCAAATAAAAAAAGAAATCTAAAAAGAAAAACCCCAAAACAATCAAGCCTTAAAAAAAAAAAAAAAAGAACAACGTTAAGGTCAAGAAGTAAATACAGGCATTTCCCACAGAGAGGACACAGCCTGAATAATAGCTTTGGCCACTGGACCAAGAAAGAATTTCCTCTGTGTCATTTTTAAATGCAGAGTGTTTGTGTAAGATAGTCAAGTAGAATAAGTGATGCTCTGTGTCTCCTTAACGTATACTTTACACTAGGCTGTCAGGAAACTTAGTGACTAGGAGTATGCCAGTGATCACTATGCTGAAGCCCTTATCTTTCAGAAAAGCCTACTGGAGCCCAGAGAAGACAAATAATTAGTCCATACAACTTGGCTTTCTGATTCCTGATTTAGTGCTCATTTACTACATCAGGAAATAAGCCACAAAACAATGATTTCAGTGACTTTTCACTATGCAGTCTCACTCTCTTATGCAGTGCTATGTGAAATAATGGAAAGAGAGTAGGCATTTAGCATTGCTGGTTAACACACTGTTGTCTCACATTCAAGTGCTTGAGTTTGGTCTCTGGCTCTGGCCCCTGATTCCACCTTCCTACCAATGCAAATTCTAGGAGGCAGCAGTGAGGGCTCAAGTAATTGGGTTCCTGCCATGCATATGGTAGACCAGATTGAGTTCCCAACTCCTGGTACTGGCCCTGGCCCAGGCCCAGCCACTACAGGCATTTGGTGAATGAACCACTGGAAGGATAATATCTCTTTCTCTGTTTCTTTGCCTCTCAAAAAAAATGTTTTCTAATTTAACAATAAAACAGAATAATGGACAAATGATTTTAATATGCAATCATGAACAAATAAAATGGAAAAGGTAAATGAGATTCTTTTGTCTTAGGCCAGTCTGTACTTAAGCAGTTCTGGATAAATGAGAATTTGTATATTTTAAAAGTCATACCTCTTTTCTAAAAGACCAACATGTACTATTCCAACATGAAGCAGAACTCAATAAAGTCAGCTTTTCTCCTATTCTGGAGATGATTACTTTATTATAATCCAGAAAGATAGCTGTTCCCATTGAGTTTAGGAACAGTGCACACTGGGGAACTATTCTTCAGCAGTGGTAGCTTCTCTGATGCAACGATGGCAGGAAAAACACTAATTATGTCCTGTACACTAAAGGGTGCCTCATATAATAATCAATAGTCATGTGCAAGGCACATGATGCTACAGTACACAGTAGTTTCTCTCTCTCTCTCTTTCTCTCTCTCTCTCTCCCTTCCTTCCTTAGATTTACTTATTTATTTGAAAGGCAGAGTTACAGAGGGGCAGAAGCAGAGGCAGAGGAGGTCTTCCATCCACTGGTTCACTCCCCAAATGGCCACAAGGGCTGGAGCTGTGCCTATCCGAAGCCAGGAGCCAGGAGTTTCTTCCAGGTCTCCCATGTGGGTGTAGGGTCCCAAGGACTTGGGCTATCTTCTACTGCTTTCCCAGGTCATAACAGAGAGCTGGATCAGAAATGGAGCGGCTGGGACTTGAATCAGCGCCCATATGGGATACTGGCACTGCAGGTGACAGCCTCACCCGCTGCGCCACAGTGCCGGTTCCAATAGTACTTTCATTAGTTAATTCACAACCCCTTCAGTGAGCCTCTTACCTACTTTGCTGTGATGTGGTCATCCTATATGGGTGCCGGTTCAAGTGCGGCTGCTCCACTTCCTATCCAGCTCCCTGCTAATGTGCCTGGGAAAGCAGCAGAGGAAGGCCCAAGTACTTGGGCCCCTGCACTTTTGTGGGAGACCTGGAAGAAGCTCCTGTTCTTACCTACTTTGGACAGAACCACTGGGAGCTCGATTCTGTAGGGAGAGAGTGTAAAGTAGCACAGAGAAGCTGTGACATGTGTGCTGGAATCATCACATCGAATCCTGACTCTGCTGCTTCCCAGCCCTGTGTCCTTCCCTGAGGGCCTCATTTCTTCATCTGTAAAACAACATAATAACAGTGTCCACATCACATGCTTGTTGTGACAATGACAAGAAGTAACACCAGTAAATCGTTTGCTACAGTGCTTGGCTGCCATGGTTTGGGTTTCTCCAGGAGCAGAACCTGAGACAATGACTCAAGGGCATGTAGTCCATTTAGAAGGCAATTACAATAAGCAACAGTGGATGAGGCCAGAAGTGAGATAGAGAAGGGGAAAAACCAGAAGAGAGGTGCTGTCATGCAAGCTACCACTGTGGGCAACAGGAGCTCGATCCCACCAGGGAACTCTGGGAAACCCCCACCCACGGGGTTGGAGAGCTGGGGTGTTTTTCCCTGTATACCTTGTCTGATGGCCACTACGGACCTTAGGTGGATAATTTCCTGGCCTTCTCACCTGCTTCGTAGGCAGGAAGAACAGACTTCCGTGTTCAGAGAACGCTGTAGACACTGGGGAGTGGGATTGGCATGTGAGGAGATGGTCAGGGCTGGGGAGATGCGGGCTGAGTATCCACAGTGTCTGCTGCCCTGGCTGCAGGGGCCATCAACCACACATTTTGTATTTTAAAATATTATTATTAAGTGAACTTTAGGTTCTTTTTCAAACTGAACATGCTTAGCACAGAAAACGTTTGTGTGAATACCAGTTTGTGTCTGCACAGTAGCCTTTCTCTTTTCTTCCTGTCGGAAGCTCACCCTTTGTCCTGTTTTAGTGATGTGGTCTCCATCTTCCTGTTTCTCAGCCCCCTCTTTTCTCTTATCCCTTCATTATTACAGGGAGAGGGGTAACGGTGCTGGCCTGGCAGAATATTCCCAGCTGGCTGGCGACAGGCTTGCATCAAGGTGAGTAGGAGATGCTGATGGGGGCCAGCATCCTCTTTGGAACATAGCTGCTGGAGCTGTTGGTAATGATTTTTCTGCTGTGTCTGCTAAGCTAAGAGACATGAGTTCTGAGCATGCTATCTTATTTCCTGTGGAAAGCGTATACCTAACAGAGAGAGGTGGGGAGAAAAAGGGTGGAGGGGGAAAAAAGAGAGAGAGAGAGAGAGAGAGAGAGAGAGAATCCTGAAGACATTATTTTATCTCCTGAATACAACTTTGGTTAAACTGAGCTATGCTCTGGGCTTATAAATTCATTGCTATTACTTGCAGCAAAAGAGCCCTATTGATAGAGCATTGGTAGTATTTCATGCTCTAAGATTTCTTTTTAATTTTTAAAGCACTTCACTTTAATTTTTTTTTCTATTTAAAAAAAAATTTTTTTTTGACAGGCAGAGTGGACAGTGAGAGAGAGAGAGACAGAGAGAAAGGTCTTCCTTTACCGTTGGTTCACCCCCCAGTGGCCGCCGTGGCCGGCATGCGCATCGCGCTGATCCGAAGCCAGGAGCCAGGTGCTTTTCCTGGTCTCCCATGGGGTGCAGGGCCCAAGCACTTGGGCCATCCTCCACTGCCTTCCTGGGCCACAGCAGAGAGCTGGCCTGGAAGAGGGGCAACTGGGACAGAATCCAGCGCCCCGACTGGGACTAGAACCCAGTGTGCCGGCGCTGCAGGCAGAGGATTAGCCTAGTGAGCTGCGGTGCCGGCTCACTTTAATTTTTTTAATATTTATTTATTTGAAAATCAGAGTTACAGAGAGGTAGAGGGAGAGAGAGAGAGAGAGAGAGAGAGAGGTCTTCCATCTGCTAGTTCACTTCCAAAATGGCTACAAAGACCGAAGCTGAGCCAATCTGAAGCTAGGAGCCAGGAGCTTCTTCCAGGTCTCCCACATGGGTGCAGGGGCACAAGGACTTGGACCATCTTCTACTGCTTTCTCTGGCCATAGCAGAGAGCTGGATAGGAAGTGGAGCAGCTGGGACTCAAACTGGCACCCATATGGGATGCTGGCACTACATGCTGTGGCTTTACCCGCTACACCACAGCACCAGCCCCACATTTTAATTTTTAATTTATTCTAGAGTCAGGAAGAGAGAGAGGGAGAGAGAGAAAGGGAAAGGGCACCCCCATTGTTCTGATCCATTGATTCACTCCACAGGTCTCGCATGTGAGTGACAGTGAAACAATCACTTGAGCCATTACCTGCTACCTCCCAAGATCTTCATTAACAGAAAACTGGAGTCAAGAGCAGAGCTGGGACTTGAATCCAGGCGTGCAGCCATCCCCACTAATGGCTTAACTGCTGGGTCATATGCCTACCATATGCTTTTAGATTCTGAGACGAGTTTTAACACATTGTTTTTCAATATAAATTCCCAAATAGTTGGAAAAGGAGCTCAGCAAGATGTTGAAGGCGGGTATGAACTGGTACCATCAATATATCCCAGAACTACCTTGCTTCCCATTTGAGGGTTTGACAGTGACAGTGTCAAATAACTTTGAATTACCCGGTGAGAAAGTTATTTCAATCCTAATTACATGAAGAAATCTCCACTGGACAACAGCATATCTTCACATCTTTGGCCCTAGCTAGTCTCCCTTTTAACAAAAATTCCAGGTCAGCCTTAAGCTAAATAAGAATTGAGAATATTGTGTCTCTGTTGTGCTTATTTATAGCAATTACTATTGCTTTTCCAACTACAATTGCATCATAGTGTCTTTTAAAAATGCAGCTAATTTGAAAAGTGAATAAATCCAAAAGAAAGCTATTAAATAATAGTATGAGTGGTGTAACTATGGCTAAAGTCATGTAGATTGTGTTTAAAAGATCAGTGTGTGGGAATCACTTGTTTAATATAATGGTTTCCCTACTTCCATAGGGAAAAAGGAAATAGACAAGGATCCATATAGATTTACTTAGGCTAATTCTGCAATGTGATTTTGATTAAAGAAGAAAATTGGTTTATTGAGGGAAGAGTCTCAATTCATTTGGGGCTAAAAACACAGAACGCTTATTTTTCCCAATCACTGCTTTTGGCTCTGCTCTAATGAAGTCCCCTCCCCAAGTGGGTGCCAAGGACTTTTAGCAACACTTTAGTCAGATTCTCCAGCTTTTGGTCATTTTTGGCAATTAAAATTCACCTTCAGTTTTTATGACTCAGACTTGTAAATTTAAAACTTTTAACCTTTGTGGGTGAGGGTTTTGCCTAGTGGTTAAGACAGTGATTTAAGATGCCTGTGTTCATTGGAATGGCTGAGTGGAATTCCTGGCTCTGGGTCTCAATTCCAGTTTCCTGCTCCTGCGTACTTGGAGGCAGTGGGATGGCTCAAGTGATGGGGTTTCTGCCACCCTCATGGGAGACCTGGGTTGGTTTCCTGACTCCTGGTTTTAGTCTAGCTCAGTTTTGGCTGTTGAGGGCTTTTGAGAAGTGAACTAATAGATGGGAGCTTTCTCTTTTCTTTCTTTTCTCTGCCTTTCACCTAGCCAGCCCTTGGGCTCCAGTGGCTAGTCTTGGACATGGCATGGCTTGCTTTGATAGACCCCCCATCCCTCCACTTACCTCCAAGCACCTGCTCCCCTATGCTGAGGTGGAGAGGAAGGAGAAATAAGAGCAATCTCCATAACTGACCTGATGTCTTTAAGCATCTCTTCGTGGGAGGTCGGCCCTGGTCTTTATGGGTGCAAAAATGTGGACAAATGGTAGCTCCAAAATGCCCCTTTACTGGCAGATCAGTCCCAGGAAGCATCCCTAGATGTTGATAAATTTGCAAGACTGGATTTCAAATGAACACCCTCTGTCTGCTTCAATGCACTTGCCTCTTTGATTCCTGCTAGAGCAGTCCCCAGTTGGACTTTAGACTCCGATTTCAGGGGCTCAGAGGTGTGTATGGAATCCTTTTGTGTACAACCTGGGAACTGGAACTATGCCAAGGGTGCATGGAAATGGTAGCCCCTCTCTGTCTGATCAGCCCTGCATTGTGCTTCTACCCTAATTCATTCCTTTAGGCCTGGATCATAGAGGCAGGTGAGCAGACCCACTGACTAACACAGGCATCGAACCAGGGAATAAAATCAGAATTCCCCTTCCATAGTCCTCTGCCCTAAGCCCACCAATGATTGATTCTCTTGGAAGTTGCCTCCTTTGGTTTCCAAAAAGGGAAGCAGCTCTTCCCTCCTGATCACAGAGGAGAGACCATGAATGACCTCTTCTAGGGAGAAATGTTCCCACCAAAAGTGACTTTTTCCTTTTTCTGTAATCATCCTTACATTTCTTTCTGGTAGGTATAGTAGGATGAATAATAGGCCCCCAAAGATACCAGGTCTTAATCCTTGGAACCTGTAGGGCAAGGGTTTTGGTAGATGTGATTAAGTTAAAGCTCTTTCGTGTATCCTAGATTATCTGGGTGAACCCTAAATACAATCATCACCAATGTCCTTACAGAAGAGAGGCCGAGAAAGATTTGACACCAACACAAAGAATAGGTGGTGTGAAGTGAAGATGAAAGCAGACATTGAAGTGATGTGATCACTCGCCAAGGGATGCAAGCAGCTTCCAAAACCTGGAAAACCTAAAGTATAGATTATTCCCTGGAACCTCCAGGGGGAGTATGATCCTGTGGACACCTTGATTTGGGCCCATAAATACTGATTTCACAGTTTGCTTCCTGCATTGTGAGAGAATAACCTTTTGTGGTTTTTGAACCCCCCAGTTTGTGATAGTTTGTTACAGCAGCCCTCAGAAACAGATGCAGTGGTGTAGAACCCATTTTGTTGACATAATGCTGTTCAATGACTATCTCTAAGATAAGTGCTTCTTAGAGATAACAGTGGGGGTGCTGTCAAGGATTTTTTGCTTGCACAAGTGTTAGTTAAGCTCTTGAACTTCTTTTAGATCTGTTTGTGCACTGTCTTGTAAAATCTAGTTTTCGCAAAGAACTCTGCTAAGTGAGATTAACAAGGATACCCACCCTCAATATCTGATCAGGACCCTCATCCTCCACCACCCATCAAGTGATGTCTGTTCACCTGGCTTGTTTTTGGCAGGAATTCTGTGAAGGGTTCTGCATTCTGGCACAGTGAATTAATCCATTGCTTGCAACACTGGCATCCTGTATTGGAGTGCTAATTTGAGTCCTGGCTGCTCTGTGTTCAATTCAGCTTCCTGCTAACGTGCCTGGGAAGGCAGCAGAAGATGGCCCAAGTACTTGTATCCCTGACATCTACATGGGAGACCAGGATGGAGTTCTTGGCTCCTGGCTTTAGCTTGGCACACATCTGGCTATTGTGGCCATTCGGGAAATAAACCAACAGATGGAAGATTAATCTCTCTTTCTTCCTGTCTCCCCTGTTAAGTTGGTTCAGCCAGAATCTCCCTCACTCCTGATGTTTCTTCTTAGTCATTTTCTATTCACTGATTCTCAGCCTGTTTCTTGGCTATAAATTCTCACTTACCAATTGAAGTCAATATATCTTCCCCATTACAAAACCCCTTGCAGTGATCCTTTTATCTACTACCTAATTAAATCTCTGCTCCATTATTTTAATAAGTGTCATTGAATACATCTCAAAAAATAGTACCCAAAAATAGTACTTTTTGTTCTGCTTTTGAGTCTTGATCAAAATCCAGGGAGCCCGGGTGGGGAGTGGGGGGGCGGGACTCTCACTAACCATTTAACTCCATTCTGTTAAAAAATGAACATCACCATTAACTCCCAGAGTAGTCATTAAAAACATCTTGGGACAGGTGCTTGGCACAGTGGTTAAGATGCCATGTGGGATGCCCACACCCTGTTTCAGAATGCCTGAATTCTAGTCCCAGCTCCGCTCTCCATTCCTGCTTCCTGTTGATGTGCACCCTGGAAGGCAGTAGGTGAGGGCTCAAGTACTTGGATCCCTGACACCCACATGGGAGACTGGGGTTAAGTTCTGGGCTCCTGGCTTCAGTCTGGCTCAGTACCAGCTGTTGGGGGCACTGGGGGAGTGGATCAGCAGATGAAAAATCTCTGTCTCTATCTCTCTGCCTTTCAAATAAACAAAAATTACCAAAAAACAAACAGACAAGAAACTTGCTCTTCTACACAACGAAGAATGTTGGCTTTCATTTATATATAAAACAGATTCTCTCACAAATTTTAGCAGAAACTGCTATTTTCTCTTAATATCTGTTTTCCCTTATACTGCATAATGACAGCATTCACAATTTTAGTTGGTCAATATGAAAACAAAACTCTATTATCTTCTTTTGTAGCTAGGATGCACACATGACAAAATTCTGGTTGGTGTTTATAAAATAGAAGTGTGTGCAATATTAGGAATATGTCCTTAAAGGAAGAAATGTGCTTCTCCTTTTTCCTTTCTTTCTTTTGCCTGGAATGAGGATGTAATAGTAGGGCCTGGAGCATCCATCACAGACCGTGAGGTGGCTATAAGAATGAAGTCAGTACTCAGCACAGCAACAAGCTAGAAGGAGCCCGAGTCCCAGGGAACTTCTTATCAATTTAGGGGATCTACTGTCTTCAGACTTTCACAAGAAAGAGAACTAGATATTTGAATTTTCCATTAGCAACAGTTACATATAATCCTAGCCAATCATGAGTAGGCTTTTTGTAGTGTTCAAACTAGAATATGGAAGTGGATTTTCCCAGAAATTACCTTTATTGACCATTTGGAATAGTCAATCCATGCAGAATGTCTATTTGGATTTAACTTAAAACAAAAGTGTTATTACTCTTACACTTGGGTGTTTTTATAGTTTGTAATTGAAGCAATTTGACAACTGATGAAATGAACCAAATTCACATTCAAATTTTATAGAGGTTGCTGTTCCACCATTGTTTTTTCTGCCCTTGTGGTTATCCAGAATAACTGTTCTAAAAATGCTAAAGGTTTGGAGATCCTATGGAAACATAATAGAATGAACAATGACAAGATTGAAATCCTTGATCTAGATGGTCTTAGCTAGTTTTGTGAACTTGAAAATGACACCTCTCTGAGTCTGTTTTGTATACTTAAAAATAAAACAGTTAAATTGCAACAAAAGTTGCTTCTAACTCTTTACTGCTATGAAAAAAATGATATTTTTAAAAGGCAGCATAGAGTGGGTGTTTGTAGCAGCAGTTAAGTTGCCGTTTATCCCATATCAGGATGAAATGAAAATAAATAAATACATTTTTAAAAGGCAGCCTTCTAGTGTTCTGTCAAAGATCAAATCTCTAACTTTGGAGTTATTTTAGAACCCATACTATCAAGCTGCTCCATGGGAGATGGCAGATTTAGTGTTAGTGATTTCACTGATACTTCGTTCTTAGAAAATTATTCATGGTCTTAAATCAAATACCCAAATTGTCAACACTACCATTTATTAAAAAAAGAAGAGTTTCAGAACGAGGAAGTAAATTGTTCTGATGACCTCCTTGACTGGTTGAAGTAGGGCATCTGGTACTAAACCTATATGAAATTTTTATCTGCTTCCATTAAATGTATATTTGCCCTCCCCTCCAAATCCTTGTTTTATAACTCAGTGAAATCGCAAAAACCTGAAGGGAATGGGCAACTGACATAAATGTATGAGGACAATAGGTGCTAAGTCCTTGGTATTGTTACCAGCTGTATCCACTGCCCTGGGAACTTGCTTTTCAGTAATAAAACACATTACCAAGTTGTGCATAAACATTGATTGATAACCATGATCTCAAGGAATTAGTGGCCAAACCTGGTTTGAAAAAAAGTTTCCAAAAAAAAGTTTCTGATTTTCCAGAAACTCCTAAACAGCTTCTGAAAGACACTGACACCTGGGCCATCCCTCACACTTCTAGCAGTAAACACATCTCTAACACCACAAATTCTGATCCCAAGATTTTCTTGGAAATGATCTCTTTAAACCAAATCAAGTCAGAGTGCAAGAAACATTCGTCATTTCCTGCTCTCATCTGGCTTTATAATATGAGCTTTGTGGGATCTTGTCATGCCCTTTGTTTTTGTGTGATAGCACATTTGTTTGAAAAAAAGGGCAAGTTAGAAAGGAGAGCATGGGGTGAATGCAGAAAATATAATAGGTTCATTCTTATTCTCTTTTTTTTCTTTTAAAGATTTATTTGTTTATTTGAAAGGCAGCGTTAGAGAGAGAGAGAGAGGAAGAGACAGAGATCTTCCATCTGCTGGTTCACTCCCCAGACAGCCACAAAGGTCAGCTGGGCTGGTCCAAAGCTAGGAGCCAGAAGCTTTCTCTGGGTCTCCCACATGATTGTAGTGGCCCAAGCATTTGGGCCATCCTCTGTTGCTTTCCCAGGCACATTAGCAGGGAGCTGGATTGGAAGCGGAGCAGCCAGGATGTGATTTGAGGCCCATATGGGATGCTGACACTGCAGGTGGTGGCTTTACCCACTATGCCACAGTGCCAGCTCCAATAGGTCCACTATTATTCCTGGGAGCGGGCTGTCCTCTTAGCCCAAGTGTTCTCCCCCATGGCCATTCTCTTTAATAAAGAGGCTAATCTTATCATGAGACAGGTCACCATCTAGGGCTTGTCATAGCCAAGAGCCTAGAAAATCCATGGGAATTCACTGAAATCAACATTTTTCCCAGCTTAATCAATGCACATGGTACATATAGTCACTGTGTGAAAGTATGGCCTGGTTTTATTTACCAAGTGAGGCTTACATGAATTTTACAATATAATGTACATGTATTTCCAACTGCCTCTCTCTCTCTCCCTTTCTCTTCCTGAGGATATTTCATCTGCAGAAAAATGAATGGTAGCTTGTACTATATTTATTATATACTATATCTATTATTTAATAGAAAGCTACTTTCTATTATGTGAAAATATAAAGCATGTATCCGGTAATTTTTTTTGCAAGAGTAGTTATGCAGAGTGTGGGTCCTAGACCATTGTGAATGCATATCAACTGCTGACACTGGACTTGTTGGGCCACAAGTGAATGTAACCAATCAGAATTTCTTTAAAGACACACAAGAGGAAAAATTTTCCAGGTTCATGATTGGAAGAATTAATATCATCAAAATGTCTATACTACCAAAAGCAATTTACAGATTCAATGTGATCCCAATAAAACTACCAATGATATTCTTCTATAAAAAAGATGATAAAATTCATACAGAAACACAAGAGATCCCAAATAACTGATGCAAACTTTTTTTTTTTTTTTTTGACAGGCAGAGTGGACAGTGAGAGAGAGAGAGAGAGACAGAGAGAAAGGTCTTCCTTTTTTTGCCATTGGTTCACCCTCCAATGGCCGCCCGTGGCTGGTGCGCTGTAGCCGGCGACCGCACTGATCTGAAGCCAGGAGCCAGGTGCTTTCTCCTGGTCTCCCATGGGGTGCAGGGCCCAAGGACTTGGGCCATCCTCCACTGCACTCCCTGGCCACAGCAGAGAGCTGGCCTGGAAGAGGGGCAACCAGGACAGAATCCGGCGCCCCGACCGGGACTAGAACCCAGTGTGCCGGCACAGCAAGGCAGAGGATTAGCCTAGTGAGTCGTGGCACCGTCCCGGTTTTTTTTCTCATGAGCTTGTAGGTCACACATACTTGGCTAAACCCTAAATATTTTCACCTCAATTTCTTTCTTTTTTTTTTTTGATGCAATCTTAAACAACAAAAACAAAGCTGGAGGCATCACAATACCAGATTTCAAGACATATTACAGGGCAGTTATAATCAAAAAACAGCCTAGGACTGGCACGGAAATAAACATATAAACCAATGGAAGAGAATAGAAATCCCAGAAATCAATCCATGCATCCACAACCAACTAATCTTTGACAAAGGACCTAAAATAAATTTCTGGAGAAAGGACAGTCTTTTCTTTTTTTTTTTTTAACTTTTGTTTAATGAATATAAATTTCCAAAGTACAGCTTATGGATTACAATGGCTCCCCCCCCCATAACTTCCCTCCCACCCTCAACCGTCCCCTTTCCCTCTCCCTCCCCCCTTCCATTCACATCAAGATTCATTTTCAATTCTCTTTATATACAGAAGATCAGTTTAGCATATATTAAGTAAAGATTTCAACAGTTTGCACCCACATAGAAACATACAGTGAATCACCCTAGGCTCTTGTCATGAGTTGCCAAGGCTATGGAAGCTTTTTGAGTTCACCGACTCTGATTATATTTAGACAAGGTCATAGTCAAAGTGGAAGTTCTCTCCTCCCTTCAGAGAAAGGTACCTCCTTCTTTGATGACCTGTTCTTTCCACTGGAATCTCACTCACAGAGATCTTTCATTTAGGTCTTTGTTTTGTGTGGTGGTTTGTTTTTTTTTTTTTTTTTTTTTTTTTTTGCCAGAGTGTCTTGGCTTTCCATGCCTGAAATACTCTCTTGGGCTTTTCAGCTGGAGCCGAATGCCTTAAGGGCTGATTCTGAGGCCAGAGTGCTGTTCAGGACATCTGCCATTTTATGGGTCTGCTGTGTATCTCACTTCCCATGTTGAATTGTTCTCTCCCTTTTTTATTCTATCAGTTAGTATTTGCAGACACTAGTATTGTTTATGTGATCCCTTTGACTCTTAGTCCTATCATTATGATCAATTGTGAACAGAAATTGATCACTTGGGCTAGTGAGATGGCATTGGTACATGCCACCTTGATGGGATTGAATTGGAATCCCCTGGTATGTTTCTAACTCTTCCATTTGGGGCAAGTCAACTTGAGCATGTCCCGAATTGCACATCTCTTCCCTCTCTTATTCCCACTCTTATATTTAACAGTGATCACTTTTCAGTTAAGTTTCAACACTTAAGAATAACTGTGTATTGATTACAGTATTCAACCAAAAGTATTATGTAGAACAAACAAAAACAATACTAAGAGGGATAACATATTAAGTTGCTCATCAACAGTCAGGGCAAGGGCTGATCAAGTCACTCTTTCTCATAGTGTTCATTTCACTTTAACAGGTTTCCTTTTTGGTGCTCAGTTAGTTGTCACCGATCAGGGAGAACATATATTTGTCCCTTTGGGACTGGCTTATTTCACTCAGCATAATGTTTTCCAAATTCCTAACAGGGATCATTTTTCAGTTAAAATTTAAACACCTGAGAATAATTGTGTGCTAATTACAGAGTTCTACCATTAGTACTAGAACAAAAAAAATACTAAAATGGATAAAGTATTACATTGTACATCAACCGTCGGGACAAGAGCTGATCAAGTCACTGTTTCTTGTAGTGTCCATTTCACTTCAACAGATTTCCCCTTTGGTGCTCAGTTAGTTGTTGCCGATCAGGGAGAACATATGATATTTGTCCCTTTGGGACTGGCTTAATTCACTCAGCATAATGTTTTCCAGATTCCTCCATTTTGTTGCAAATGACCGGGTTTCATTGTTTTTGACTGTTGTATAGTATTCTATAGAGTACATATCCCATAATTTCTTTATCCAGTCTACTGTTGATGGGCATTTGGGTTGGTTCCAGGTCTTAGCTATTGTGAATTGAGCTGCAATAAACATTAGGGTGCAGACCGCTTTTTTGTTTGCCAATTTAATTTCCTTTGGGTAAATTCCAAGGAGTGGGATGGCTGGGTTGAATGGTAGGGTTATATTCAGGTTTCTGAGGAATCTCCAGATTGACTTCCATAGCAGCTTAACCAGTTTGCATTCCCACCAACAGTGGGTTTGTGTCCCTTTTCCCCACATCCTCTCCAGCATCTATTGTTGGTAGATTTCTGAATGTGAGCCATTCTAACCGGGGTAAGGTGAAACCTCATTGTGGTTTTGATTAGCATTTCCCTGATTGCTAGTGATCTTGAACATTTTTTCATGTGTCTGTTGGCCATTTGGATTTCCTCTTTTGAAAAATGTCTATTGAGGTCCTTGGCCCATCT